TTGTTTAAGATGAAAATAAATATCTGCAAACCGAGCCGCGCGTTTTGCTTCTCGCCGTGGAACGCTTGGTGTGTTGTGCGCGTTGCAACACGTTCGCCGTCTTGTCTCTAATATTTCTTAATCTTAATAGGAAATTTGTATTTTAAATAGACTGCTGCGTACTTGATGTGATACTGAAAGCATGTTATAACGCTTGCAAAACTGCAATGTTAAAATTCTTGGTTATTTTGATTTTTATGATACAATGTATTAGAAAATTCTGTTACAATCTCTGCAGTGCAAGAAGTATAGCGTTATAGTTTTGTAATATGAATGTTGCTTCAGTAATCAAACACGTCAAAGGACTTTTAAAACAATGTGGAAAAGTAGATTTTGTATCATTTTATTTCTCTGTGGAATCGAGACTGCGAACGTGTTAGGTGATAGCTTGTTGGATAGTAAGAGAGTGTAAGAAAAGAATACAGAAACAAGAGTTTTGCGTGAATGATTTATTCAAGTCGCACCGAGGCACGACTCACCCTTCTGTTTGTACAAACAGTTGCTTTCACAGTGACACACACACAGAAACATACACATACACACAATTGATTGGGTACCAGGAAAAGTTCCTGTGAGTAATTGAATCAAAATTTGAACACAGAGAACGTTTTTGTAACATAAATATATTATTTGATACCAATGGCGTAAACGTAACTTGCTGCTGATTCGTTAAACTGATGGAACACTGATTGAAGTCAGACCAACAAATTCATTGCCAACAAGAAAACCGCACGAACTTGTTCCAGTATCTAATGCTAGCACAAAACAGATGCGTATGTAAGAGGAAATGATGTAATACAGTATAGGTGCATCGATGCGTTTTACCGGACACGATGATGCCCTTCAGAAGGCAGCTTGCATTTTAAAGAAAAGCAAAGTTGCCCGATGATGAGCCGCAACGTGACCCGTCCAACTTTCTGCTGAACTCTCTTCCTCCCAGTCCAGATAGGAACACATTGCCCTATCCTCTGAAGTTGCGTCCACTGCCTTCCACTTTACTTGTAAGCACTGTCAAGATTTTTCCTAATGAACGGTCACAAACTCTTTACTTCTTCTTGCTTGTTTCTCTGTTTCTATTGTTCAGGCACAAGAGCGCAGCACAACAACGGTGTGGACACGACAAAATACGCGTTTCATCTGAGGTTCCTTGGGGCTTATTCAGAAACTTTATAACTGGCTGCACGTATCCACCCACAGGAAACTGCGGTGTAGAGATTAGCCGGCGAACTTTCGAAAAGGAAACAGGAAGAGGCGGATAGCTGCTGCGCTAACCAAGATACGTCCTTGCTAGATTTGGTTTTAAGGGCAACAAGGAGGTGATAGGAGAACTTTAAGTTTTCCTGTATCTCTGAGAATTAGTTAATAGAGTTCTATGTAGGTACATTGCATCCTTTCCTCCTTTGTTCATCCTGTTTTTTAATTAATTATAGCTGTGCTGTTCAGTTCTGCTGTAGAATACTTGAAATGAATCGACAGCAGGCCAACATTCCTATTTTTCCTGTACGGTCAGGTAAATTCAGAGCTTTTTTACATTCTTTGCCCCATTTAGAACCTTCTATGTCTTATGCGAAATTCTAAGAGGATAAATTTTTTATAGAAACAGTAAAGACCTTTCCTGTAACACTGGTGAAGTCATCAAATCAACTTAGAAAACATATATTGCGAATACTGAGATATCTCTAACACTGGTACGACTGTCTGATCTTTTATATCATGAAGGTGTTTTAAGTTTTGAAGAAATCAGTTGTGCATATAAATGTAACTCAGACCTGGGAGTGCGCAATGTGCTGTGATATTTAATGAATTTGATTAAGGGAACCTTAAGTAATAAGGTCTCTGATGATACATTTATGTAGAATGTTTCTAGTTTGCTGACTGCCATTGTTTCTGTACCTTGACTTACTAAACATTTCCCCTCTCCTCTGATTCTCCCCAGGAGGTTGCATGGGAAAAATTGATGTTGAAATTTTCATTGGAAATGTAGCCAGCCTGACATCAAGTAAAATGAACATCTGCTGCATATATGGCGACAAAAACGTGTTTGAGTGTCATAGTGTTTTATCCTCAGTTGGCAGAAGTCTGGAAAGCCTCAGTATATACAAATTTGTTTCTAATTTGTTTGTAACTTTGTAGTCAGAAGATTTTACAAACACTCATTTACTTCTTAGTGACAAGAAATAAACTTAGGATAGTAGAGAAGGTAAGTATTAAACAAGATTTGGCATTTACTTATCCCTTCATAAAAATCTAACTAAACTAAACTTGAATAAAGAGAACATAGAAACTATCAGTGACCATAGATAATAATTTTCAGTATTACTAAAGAATATGCAGAATATTGAAGAAAGAAGAATGAAGTATTTAAAGATTTCTCCTTTCAAATAAATATAGTTTCTGATGAGGAAGACCCTCTCAACTGCAAGAATAACCGCAGAGAATCCTCTTTTATCAGTAAACAAGAGTAGTTTTGTAACCGCTGCTTGTGCTATTTTGTTGGAAACATAGTCGGTAGTGTCGGACACAGGAAACACCTGGTCGGTTCGCCTCTGGCCCTGATAACAGTCTGTAGCTGTTTTAAAATAGGCAACGAATAAATAAATTCTGAGTGCAACCACAGAGGCAGGCCACCTTGAGATCTTGATTGATTTCAGCTTAGAATACGGTCAACGGAAACGGGCAACAGTGGAAAAAACAAGCTGAAATCCAAGATCATTGATTGTTGTGCAGATCAGCGAGTCAAGTACGTGGTCAGGAAACAGTTTGAAGATTCCTGACCGGAGTGGGAATCTCTCCCACTTAATGTTATTGTTGTGACCCACGATGAGTCACACAGGCCATACTGCAGTTGATTTTTCCCTCGAGTCCACGAGTCAGCGTCGTTTGCACTGGACTAATATGATTAGGGTCATTCTTCCAGTGGACACGAAAATTTTCTCTTAGAGCATACAACTTTATTTTTTATGTGCGATGCTAATGAGACCTGGCCTATAGTAATTAAGATGACTGAACAGAATGATACAGCGTCTCTTAATTCAGGCGACGATGGTCATCAACCGCAGCATACGCGATCCACTGGAAGTAGATCCGAAACGGCACACAGCCCGTTGAAATTGAGTCGCGTACAGAGCCTTGACCCGTCTAGGAAGTTAATTCACGCGGCAATTAAAATACCGCGACAGCTGCGGTACCCCGGAACCGTTTCTAACGATAACACTGTCCAACACGAATTTTAATCTGCAACCACTGGGTGGTTCCTACAGCTTCTCGCGTTCAATGAAAATCTGCTGTGTAATCAGCTGTTGAGATACAATTTTAGTAGAAATTAATTGCAATACTGAACCATGGAGCAGTTACATTGATTTTGAAACATTGCTTTAAAATATCAATGGACTTGCATTTTAGTTTGCTATTTATTGTTTGCTAATTTGTTTAATTTAACGATTATTGAAGTTACTACTTTAATAATAAACATAATTAATGATTTCTTAGAGAAGCATTTGTATTTCTTTAGTAATTATTAAAGAAATGAAGAATGAACCGGTTCATCTGGAAGTTGTAGTGTTGAACATTTATTTGCGTGTTAAGTGTTGAAGCAGTGTCAGAGTTTTTAGTAGAAAACGACTAATTATTTAGTCATACAACCGGAAGTAACTGTAAGTTGAATTTAATAAGAATATAAATATTCCATTTAAACGAAAGTACAATGCAGATGATTAATTTCAGGTATTATTGAATGGGATGACTCAAACTGGACCAGAAAAAACACGAAGAGGGAATACACAGAAGTTCTTCCTTTAAAAAACCAACACTGAAAATACATTTAGAGTGACTCACATTTAAATCATTTCAAGAACGACTAAATCTTACTGTAGTTCCCGTGTATTATCAGAGTACACTTATTCAATTTAAATGACAGTAAAATATTCAGATACTAAAATATTTAAGTCGTGAAATATTTAGATAATCAAATATTTAAACAAAATATTCCGATAGTAAAATAGTTAAGTAAACTATTTATACACAAAAATAGTTAGACGATAAAGCGTTCAAACGATAAAATATTTAAACACTGACATAATTATACAGTAAAACATTTAAAGATCTTTCAAAGAAAAACTAAGAATAGATAACTCAACCGATACTAAACTAAAACTGCAACGAATGATCCCAACCAATTTACTAAATCCAGCGTTAATTTTTCTTTCAGGCATGCCAAGGGTGAGCTCGCACTTCCCCGATGTCCAACGATTGGAGGGAGAGCAACAGTTGGTCGTTGGAAGATAACGTGCACCACAGTCGGGATATTCCATTCCACGCGGGACACCCGATAGATCGGCTTACCGAACACGCGTGGTCTACAGAAAGATACGTGTTTCCGCCCAGCGCGATATCCACCGGAACCCATGAAAATCTTGCGACTGAACAACCGCAGCGTTTTCCTCTTTCGCGACCGAACACTGTCGCACGTTCGTTAAATCTAAATAATCTTTCAAAATTACGAAACCGTTCGGTACATTCGTAATCGATGAATATGTAAAATTAGAAAGAAATTCTGATGTATTCTCTTTGCTTTTTGTATCTTTACGTCCGCACTTTGAATCGCCTGTATCGAGGAACGTTGGAATGTACACGCGAAAACGCTGCAACGCGGATGCCGTAGCCGGCACACCCCATGCGAGATCCCGAGGGCGACTGAACAACAGTGAACTTGATTTGCGGAACAGCCGGAGAAGAAGGGAGGATTCCGAAAGAAAGAGAGGAACACGTGGTGCGTTCCCCCGTGAAAGAGGGGACCCCTTGCTAGCAATGGACGGATGAAACTGCGTCGGCCGTACGAACGGATCGTTTGAGGGATTAGAAATTCAGTTTTAGAGTCTCCGGGCACGATGGAAATATTGTAACAATTGTATCTAGTGGTAGTCGGTGGGAATACCGTTAACAGATAACGGTCGCGTCGCAGAATGCTTGGGAAATTAATGAGTGAGGCTGGGGATGATGATTGGGACAGGAAATATCAATGCTACGTATGAGAATGTTATAATTGACTCTGGAACTATTAGATGAGTTGAATCGAGTTGGTTGATTGTAGAGTTTTTACTTTGATGGGATTTAAGTTAGTAGACATTTGTGTATCTGTGTAGATGCAGGAATAGAAGCTTCGAATATTTGTAGAAATGTATTGTTCTAAATTTTGTTGTAATTGTTATAATTATTGGATTCTAATTTTTGGTAGTTCTAGTGTTAATAGGAATAATATTGTAGTATTTATTATACTGTCAGTGTTTATACAGAATTAATAAGTATATTATAATACTATATATAATACTATTATATTGTTACAACATTAAAGTAGTATTATAATTCACTGCAGCACTATAGTTTCATAATACTCTATAATAGGTATTATAAAACTGTAATACCAATATTGATTCTCCTAACAATTACCATCCAGCAATCTTTACATATCAGTGTTCCTATTTATTTCAAACATTATTTTAAGATTACCATTGCTCACTTTAAAACTCCCATGTCACTCGTTAATTGTCTCCACGCAAACTTAACACGCTAACACTATCTTCTGCTAACATACCTCCAACTGTACTATGCTGAACGACATCCTGGTAGCGCGCGACGATTCAAACCTCAGCGATATTTCCACCTTTAGAGAGCCTCTATTTTCTCATAGAAATAGCAGTCCATGTTTTTATTACAGAATTTCAAGGTTTATACAAAATCCCAAGTGGTGCAGTATCTCCAAAGATTGATCTACCCAAGAAGAACATTACAAAGTTAAGGGTTGCAAAATAAACCTATAATTCTGTTTGAACGAACCGTCTTTAACACTAGAATACCAAATGGCTCAAAATGACCCATTTCTGATATCTTCCTCCACAATTATTAGAAAGATACAAATGCTAGAAGAAATCACTGAATAACTTGATCGGATAGCATGCAAATTGAGATACAAGTCAATTGAAATCTCAATAAACACTCTTATAATTCTTATGGAAGAAATGGTAAAACGTCAGTTTGACTTTGACGGGTCAAAATTACCCATCTCAGATTTCTTTTCACGATTATTAAATGATGCTTCTCTGGGAGTTATTAAAGAGATTGATTTGGTAACATGCAAATTGTATAAAGTCTCTGTAGATACACTCTTGGAGTTTCTATAGAGAAGTTTCAAAAAGTCAGTTTGACTGCTCAGTAGTTCTAGTGTTAAGGAAACCGTCCATAATCCAGAGGACATCCCGTTTCCACTGGAATCCGAAATCGCGTTATCGTTGATCAGTTAGATGTCCAGTTGGAAAGAAAAGTGTGTCGCGTTGAAGGAAAAAGAAAGAAGGCCAGATAAATTCAACGGCGTTTGAAGGAGGGGGAGAAGGGCAGTTAGGGAGGGCTGGGGGAATGGGAAAGGGTCAGAGGGCACTGTCCTGAGGCAAGAGGCCACAGCCAGGGCCACAGAAATATTTGCATTTCCTGTTCACGATGAATAATGCCGGCCAGAGGAACCACGTCGTCGAATAGAATCACCGATCCACGGAATTTTCGCCTGATATCGTTGCACACGTGCCTGCTGGATAGAACTATTAGGAAATTCTCCTTCACAAATTGGAAAACTAAGCTACTCTTTTGTAAACTGATCACTGTCGTTCAATCTGAATTTATTCAAAAATTAATTTTATCTTGGCAAAAATAATTACTTGTTAACATTGGAACTACCGATCACTTAAACTGACTTCTACCAATTTCTGTATGAAAACCATACGCGTGCGTTTATTAAAACAATTGAGTTGTATTTCAGTTTTGCTGTTACTGAATTAGTTAATAATTTCTCGTAGAAGTGTCCTCAGTAATTGTGAAAGGAGAAATCAGAAATAAGTCATTTTGACCCATCTGGTAGTCCTAGTGTTAATCTAATAAAATAATATATAATATAGTATACAATATAACATAAGATATAATTATCACATAAACAAATGTTCCAAACGAAAGTTGTCCAATATTATTATTATTATTATTAATACCAAACAACTTTTGCTTGGAACATTTGTCTACCTAATAAATAAATGATGGTAGAATTGAACGATTCACGAGTAGTGCAATTGTTTGAAATGAATATAAAATGTGCAATATATATAATAGAAGAGTCTAACTCATCGGATGTACTCGAAGGATTAAGAAGCAGCAAAGTTGATGTTCATCTGTAAATCAGGATATCAGGTGAGCCACTCTGTACGTGGGGCATATACTACTTTCCCCTCGTCGATCTTCTTGTTAAATGAACTTTCATGATTTTTAGGAAGTCACCGGAACTCGTCATGGGATCTTTCGTGTTTCCCAAGTAGCTTCTCCCTCCCGCGTTTGCGTCTCCAAGGGTGATTTCAGTGGGGTTGGGAAAGAAAGAAGAAGTAGGAGGGAGAAGAAATGTTTATGGAAACAGCTGTTCTTCCTGGCCTGGGGTTGTTGACCATGTACACCTCCCCATTTACGTAGGAGCCTTTATGGGGGCACTCTTGATCCCCAGGTACATTCAACACGTGGCCGGTGACCCTTTTACCTCGACGTCCTGCTTAACAAGGAACAAGCAGAATTTTATTCAAATAATTCCTAATGGAACTGGATCAATATTTAACATTAGAACTAGGTAGCACTGAAATCGACTTCTCGACATTTCTCTATAGAAACTCCAAGAGTGCATCTATTGAGACTTTGATTCATAACTCAGTTTGCATATTGCCAAATTAATGTCTTCAATAACTCCCAGAGAAGCATCTGCTATGTTTTTAATAATTGCTGAAAGAATTTTTGATTGTATTGCCTGGACACATAGACATAAATTACAGATAATCAAAGTGACAGGGTTGAAAAGAGGGATGAACTGGAATATATTATTATACCAATTGGGGTCAACACAAATTAATTTATTAAGTAGTTCAAATTGTCCAATCTATTATTGATTTCTTTTACCTTGTTATATTATCTTATATTATTATTATTGTATTTTATCCATTTGTATTATCTCATACTATTGACAAAGGGTTCCAAGAAAGTCTTTTGCTCTTTAAACTCAAGTAACCGTGGTCGATGTAAGAACAGCGACTATCACAAAGTAATGTCTTTTCAGAAATAATTCCGTGAAGAATAGAGAATCGTCTGAGCTGATCCGCCAAGAGAATAGGCCAGCAGAGGGGCAAGAGAGTCGCAGGAGGAAAGCTGAATGGCGTAACGGGCCGGCTACCCAGAGAAAAACGGAGCGCACACTTGTTCCCGGACAAAAAATCACGTAGAAACATCTGGAGGTTCGAAACGGTCCTATGGTGACCCATGTAAAAACTGTTTGTGTAGCGTATACGCGTGGGAGCACGATTTTGCGTCCATCTACACCGTGTCCACCACGAACGCGCTGCAACTGTGCAACAATCGGTCCAACGTGATCTTTAACCTTGCCCTATGACTTCTGTCTGAACCGTGATCGATCTAGCTACTTTGTTATTAACAATTTATTGAATATAAGAGAGAATTCCAGTGTTATTCTACGTCAACGTATGCTGTGAGGTTTAATCATTGATAAGAAAGAAATAATATGTGATCTGCATTCATACAAATTGAGTAATATGTGTGTTTAGTAAATTCTATTTGAAATCTTCATGAGTCTAACAGGATATTGTAGGTCAAGGGGTTAAGTAGATACGGAGTGTATATAAAAATGTCCAATTTATTTGTATAAATAGTACACAGATTAACCACTTAATCAGATCTTACACAAAGCTAACAAATTTTCGTACAGAATATCGATTCGTGACGGACCTCGACAGTCTTAAGAATTCACAGCTGAGCAATACGTTTAAAGTTACCTTAACCCTTTGCTGTCAGACGGTACTTCAAATTCACCGTTATCATTCAAATGGTATTGCGAGTTTCATTTAACCCTCCGCCAGCAATATGTTATACGTAGGCTTGATTGTTTATAGTTTTTGGAAAATCTGGAAACATTCTGACGTACTGATAGTCTCTAATTTAACACGTTGACTGCCACGAGAATTTCTAGCGTTCCGAATAGTAATACTTATTCTTTGATAACTAATAATATTGAAAATCAATGATTATTACAGTAATCGTATTACGTTATGATCTAGCTACTTATGTTATTAAATATTTTTATTTAAAATCAAGTGTTATTATAATTGTTCTTCAACAATTTAGAAGCTCCGGTCATCGGTGACCGTTGCAGTCAACGCGTTAATATAAACGATTTAGCCTTTTCATGTCATTTTGCAACAGAACAATCCTGATGAAGTCACAGAGCAATTAGATTTTCGACCTTGGTCCATATTGCCAGCGGAGGGTTAATTGTAATCTTACTTTACGTTCTAATTATAAAAAGTATTTATAGTTAACACGCATGTTACTTGAACGGTCTTGAAATACCTCGAGTAAAGATGTCGCCGACAGATAATAATCTCGTTGAACGCGTAAAGGGTTAATATTCTATAGTAACGGTCTTAGTCTTCAAGTACTCATTCAGAGCTTCCTGTCCCAGGTCTTTGCCGAAGCCGGACATCTTGAAGCCGCCGAACGGCGCGGCGACGTCCGTCTTGTTATACGTGTTGATGAACACCGTTCCAGCTTCGATTTTCTCAGCGAATCGGAGAGCTCTGCTGATGTCCTTAGTGAGGACACCGGAAGCTAGCCCGTACTCCGTGTCGTTCGCTCTCCTGATCATCTCGTCCATGTTCTTCGAGCTGAATTTTGAGATCACCATGACTGGTCCGAAGGATTCTTCTTTAGCGATGTACATGTCGTCCTTGACGTCTGTGAATATAGTTGGCTCGAAGTACCAGCCTGGACGGTCCACTCTCTTGCCACCGTAAACCAAGGTAGCTCCTTCCTTGACACCACGCCGGACAAAATCGAGGAGCTTGTTCAGATGAGCCTTGTGATTCTGTGGACCATGACTCGTACTCCTGTCCAATGGGTCGCCAACAGAAATCTTCTTAGTCTCTGCGACTACTCTCTTCAAGAACTCGTCGTGTATGGTCTCCTCGACGAATAGACGACCTGTTTCACAGAAGACATCAGTGCTTCCTTAGACTACATTTAACACTAAAACTACCGAGCACTTCAATCGACTTTTGAAAATTTCGCTATAGAAACTCCAAGAGTGCATCTGTTCAGACTTTAATTGATGTACAATTCAATTCGCGTAGTGCTAAATGAATTCTTTTGATAATTCCTCAGAGAAACATTTGTTACCTTTCCAATAATTGCAAAAAGAAGGCATCAGGCATGGGTCATTTGACCCCTCTGGTAGTTTTAGTGTTAATATTGTAATTTTAACACGTTCACTGTCAAGAGAATTTTATACGTATAGATAGTCTTGTTGCATTAGCACATAGATTGTTTTGTATCCCTAATACAAAATGATTAACGAACAAAGACAGTACACGTATCCGTAAAATAGTTAAAGACAACGTTCTCCTGAAACTGTCAATACTCACCAGCAGCGATGCAGTTCTCTCCTTTGTTGAAGAACACGCTGCCCATGCCCACCCTGACGGCTTGCTGGATGTCAGCATCTTCAAAGATGACGAGAGGACTCTTCCCTCCAAGCTCCAGCGAGACTTTCTTCAGGTTGCTGTCCGCGCAGGACCTCATTATGGACTGTCCAATCTGCGTGGAGCCGGTGAAGCCGAGTTTCCTGACCAGAGGATGCTCGCAGATCGCGTTTCCTGTCACCGTGCCGTTCCCTGGTACCACGTTCACCACGCCAGGAGGGAAGCCAGCCTTCACCGTGAGCTCAGCAAATTTCAGAGCTGTCAAGGGCGAAGCCTGGGCTGGTTTCATCACTACAGTGTTTCCCGCTGCCAAGCAGGCCGCCATTTTCCAAGAGAGCATCATCAGAGGATAGTTCCAGGGTGTGACCAGGCCACAAACACCAATTGGTTCCTTACGGGTGAACGTCAGATTGCGATTCGGCCTAGCATGAGTTATGGGTATGGTGGAGCCTTGGATCTTGTCGCACCAGCCAGCAAAGTACCTCCATGTTTCAATGGACATCCCTATGTGGGTCTTCAGAGCTAGAGTGTAGACTGCACCAGAGTCCAGGGACTCTATGGTAGCCAGCTCTTCCTTGTGCTCTTCCATCAGGTCTGCTAGTCTGTACACATAAAAGTTTGCATAAGGATCCACAGTTTAATACGTTGAATACTGTGGGGGTCAATGGTGACCCCCAACCAAATTGAATTAATATAGTTCACTCAATGAAACAATTTGGAAACATTTCTATATTACAAATAATGTTACCTAATCCCATGGCATTTAGCTAGAACGTGCAATAATAATGTAATTCAACCAAATGGTTTAACCCTTTGAACTCTGTAGGCTACAATATTGCACAATGAATAATATTAGATATTTCAATGAATCTTAAAGAAACTACCCTACAATTATTAGATTCTTCACACATCCGAATTTTGCACTAAGAAGGAAAATAAAAGATCTGAGAAATGTTATAGCATTTTTCATTTTCGCCAGGGATCTATAAGAATTAGTTGCAGTTGCTGACAGATTATAAAACCATCCGAAGTGCTAAGGGTTAATATCATATCTTTTCCATTTTGTGTATTTTGCTTTATGAAATCGCGCGGCATTTTTGTTAATTACCAATTACAAGAACAAATTCTATTTCAGATTGGTTGCTTACTTGAAGAGGAGAGCTCCTCGCTCTCTAGCGCTAATCTTGCTCCATTCGCCCTCCTCGAACGCCCGCTTGGCAGCTTTCACCGCTTTGTCCACGTCCTCCACCGAGCCACACTCAACTGAACAGATAACGCTTTCATCGTGGGGATTAATGGTGTCGATGGCCCTCCCCTGTCCGTTCACGAACTGGCCGTCGATGAACAGTTGCTTGGGGAACTTCAGGCTTCTGTTGTTCGCTTGAACCTCAACGGCGTCGTATTTCACGTCCTTGGTCGCGGACGTGCCTCGCGCAGCTAGGACCACCGTTGCTGCGAACTGGCTGAACACTGGAGCCATGAAGACTTCAATGTTCTGCAAGGTCACTCCCAAGTTGTCCTTCACTTCTTCCACCAGTCTAACCACGTCCATGCTCCCAGCACCTGCAAGGGAAATCCCATGAAAGCTTTAATAGAATCTTGTAGAATATTCTATTATTCTATTAGCGGTATGCAAAAGTGTTCATCATTTTTATAGTAAATCACTTTCTATGTAATTGAAGCTTGTTCTCTTACCACAGGCGAAGAAGTCGGTATCATTCTCAACGTCCAAGTTCAGGATACCCTTCCAGATTCGTTTCAGCGTCTCAGCAGTCTTCAGCTCCTCCTCTGTGAACTCTATCACGGTCTCCTCGCTTTGCTGACCGAACTTGCTGGCTGGAATCGTTCTGGTTCCAATTTTGATCCTTTCCACGTTCACGAATTTCCCATCGACGGTGTTGATCAGCAACCCTCCTTCGTGGAGCAGCCCCAATCGGTCCTCCACGTTTACTTGGGACTGTTCTTTAGGCAGCTGTTCACTGATCCACAAAGTGGACCCAAACAGACGGACCTCTTCTCCGTTAATCGTTGTCCAAGCGCCGGGAGTACTGTCCAGGCCGCGGACGAAATTGTGAACGTCCTTCGCTGACTTAGACCAATCTATTTTCTGAAGATCCTTCTTGTTCAACATTGGATCATAGGTGGCACCTTCCTCCGTCTGAGGAACCATCGGCGCGATCTCCTTCGCCACAAGATCCACTGCTTCCCCCATTGCCTTGATCCCCTCGGGATACAGGAAGTTGTTATACAAAGTATCCACGGTGTCATTGACCTCCACGTTGCAGGATTTCTGCAGCAGAATTGGCCCAGTGTCCAGACCATCGTCCGCCCAGAATATCGAGAAGCCTGCTGTGCTGTCTCCCTCCATCAGAGTCCTGAGGAAACCACCGGAAAGATTAACTAAATTAAATTAGACTAGAGGTTGTTACTAAATTTAGTTTACTAAGTTCAATTCAGTTCAACGAGGAGATTGAGCGTGTTCAGGAATAAACGTAGAAAAATTGGTAAGCAAAGGTATGGGTAGACCCAAGCATTGTCGCTCGTAAAGTGGTTAAAGTACCATTACACAGACACGCTTCAGTGTATTACGATAGCTTGGAAATTGATCCGTAACCGGTTTCATAATTGCACACGATAGCAACCGAGCTGCTGTACCTATCAAATTAACCTCACGCTCACATTTAAATAGAGCGGTGTCCATTGAACTCTCATTCTCCTTCGTTACATTACATTATGCCTTCGTTATTACGTTTAAATAGATTAAGACCGAGTTACTCACCAATTTATAGCGCTGGCTCCACGGTGCCTGGGTAGAATAGAGGGATGGTAGCATATAGTTTTGTAACGGGGGTGATTGATCACCTCCATGGGGATGTATTGACTGCAAAACGGCAACACATTCAAATCCACCTCGATGCTTCTGTACAGATCCAACACCTCCGGCAGGGTTGCACCCTTGCTCCTCCAGGACTTGATCTTGAACACCGGCGTGTCGTCCGCCTTCGCCGTGATCGCTGTGAAGAAAGAAGACAGTCGCTTTGTCGAAGAGAAGAAACTATTATATCATGTCCATTGGAAAGTGCTGTCCGTTTTCGAATTGAAAGGAAATTGACAGTTGGTTCTTGTACCTAAAGGATCCTCGCGGCTTCCTTTGTCAGGGATCGTGAAGACTCCAGTGACCTGGTGACCGTTCTGCTTGATCAGTTTGTAAACCTCCGCCGCAAACGGACTCTGACCGATAATGGCCACTTTCAGCTGCGCCATCGCCGTCTGCGATGAAGATTGATTGAGTAGATTCTTATTACCTTCGTTATACACCCACTGATGAAAAAGTTAGGGTCACCCATAGTTTCCTGGCGGTAGTCGTAGGGATAAGAGGTCAATGTGTAATTCGTATCAACTTTTATTAACTACTAAAGAATATACATACATATTACTCTATATACTATTATTACTGCTCTATATATTAATCTATATAACTCAATTAATAATTGAAAATACAATACAATAATACAATAATTTCCACAGTAAACTTTCCTCTATACTCTCCAGACATGAACCCCATTGAAAATGTCTGGAGCTAGAAGCTTTAAAATTAAAACTATTGAACCACTAAACTATAACTACAAATTCTAAATGTTTATCAATTTAATATACACGTACACGCCTCGATAGTTAATAAAACCGATTGAATACCATTGTAGCCTTCCAATCCCAAGATTCCAAGAGTGAGAAACTATTGTAAACTATCACCCTAATTCTTTGATCAGCTAGTGTACACGCATGTAAGTACCCAAACAGCGTGCAACTGTTAGTAAATAGAGTGCGTTTACACATACATACCTAAGAGTCTCTTTGGCAGTTGACTAACGCGTGCTTGGTTTTTTTGTTTTGTTTTAAGCAAGCTGCAAAGAAAAGACACCGTCAGGATTACTGAAGCGTGCGCTGGGGTAGGAGGTGCATGGTGAATGTTGGCTAATTGCGCGGGTCAGGTCGTCACCTTTACCGTATGCTATCTACCATTACTGGCATTGTTAGGCACGGACAACCGCCCCTGTCACCGCGGATTGTAAACACCGTTTACGTTAGAGAATATTTTGTAGAAGCAGATTGAACGGGCTCTTACAGGATAGACGGCGTACGAGCGCGAAGAGAGAAAGCTTCTCAGCAGCAGCATCAAGAGAGATTGGCTCTGTCAAGAGAGATTGGTTCACTTTCCCGACGCACCTTCTCGGACCGTTCACTTGGTACTCGTTTGTCGCGACACCCACTCGTGCATGTAGCTGTCGACTGAACGGTGCTAGACGCGGCACGTTTATATAAGCTGGCTGTATCATTCGTCGGGGGTCAAGAACTCGTCAAGAAATCGCGAGTCTGCTGGCTTATCCTTGGCGCTCGATAAGTTCATTCGAAGCGGCACGCGCGATTCTCGGTACTTCCCCCCAGCGAATTCGGGGAATTTCGTTTGAAATATTATGCAATCTCGAAGAGAACGTTGTTATCTTCAATCTTGTTCTAGACGTCCACCTTTCTCCGTGGTGTTCTATGTAGGGGATAGTAATGATAGTAACAACGTTGTCTCTATTGAGAATAATAAAAAATATTTGCAATTTGAACGTTGGAACGCTTAGAGTGTTTCATTTAATTTCGACAAGAATGCGAATTCTAGCTTTAAAGTATATTGCTATTTTTATTGGAGAATTATGGGAATTAATGGGGAACGATTCTGAATGAAACGGTGTTATTTTAACAATGTAAATATTCAAAGGTGTTTATATCATTTTTTAAGTGACCGTCACGTATCAATGCTTGCAGATATTTTTCAATTTATTTTGGAAGTTAGAGGTCTAAGATAAAATTTAATTATATCGCGCGATAAAGCGAATTTGTTCGATGAAAGCCATCGAAGAAAGCTTCGTCAGAAATTTCGTTTTCTATCGAGGAAATATTTTTACCGGAAACGAAGCAGTCGGTGATTTTGAGCGGTGAGAGTTTACCGTTCTCTTTAAACTGTGCGCTGAAAAAGATCAAGCGCGTAACTAGCGCACAAATGATTTTTAATTTTCTATAATAATTTTAAAATTAAAATTTCTTAACAAATGTACGTGATAAGGAAATTGCTGTTGAAATTCTTCTTCGGTATATGAATGTGTACAAAGCTGCTTGCTAATAGCAACATAGAGTGAACAGTATAATCAAATGACGTAAATGCAACGTAATATCTGCAACAAATCACTCTTATAAGATAAGAATTTGCACGGTAGTTAAGTGGTTGGTTAGAGAAACGTTTTAGTTAATAACAAAGTCAACGAAACATTGTAATACTGTTTCATGAAAATCTACTTGTTTACGACTTGTAACGTTACTGTTTGTTTGCAATTATTTTTTGTACAGCTTGTAACTCGTAACCAGTGCGAACAGGTTTGAATGAAATATTTTCCCTTATCGTGGGTTAATGGTCACCGATAAGCTGTTTACTAACTCTGTAACCGGTTCGAATCGGTTTTGAATCTGGAACTGAAAAGATAACTGGTGAAATATGAATGACAAAAATGATGTAAGCGCAGCTCGATTCAAGGAGGGATCATTTCTGGGAAAACTGATAAGGACGCGATTGTTAAAAAATGCAGTCTTTATCGTATTACCAGTTTCCGTACAGGGATAACATAGTGAATAATCAATTGCACTTTTATACTATAACATGTACATTTAATTACATTAACGAAGTTGTGATAAACATTAAATAAGTGCGCAGAACGGGTTATGTCGTTCAGTATCTGGGTACTTTAAATTCTGACCCGCCATCCAACACGGTACTCGGTTTCCTCTTGTTCATAATGTTCTGGATCTTCTGCCATTCTCTGTCTAACTCTGCTTTCTCGTTCTTCTCTTTATTATATTTCCTTGTTCGTCTGCCGTCGGCCATTTTCACACCGTATTGGAATGCTGCTTTCGGCAGTGCCTCTTTGTTGTTCATGTATTCGCTGTACTCTTCAGGTGTGTCGAAGTCCCATCTACCGATTGGTCCTTTCTTATTGCCGAGATCCATTTTAGTGTAATCCACTTCGTCATCCGAGTCATCTATGGCATCCTGCATTTCATCGAGACCAGGGTAACACTCAGCGTAGCCTTCCGGCTCTGCTGCTAATTTATTCAGAAGAGCACCTTTCTTAGGAGCATTGCTGTCCACATTGGTAGGCGCAACGCTCGGTAACTGAGGAGCATTTGCATTGTCGTCTGTGTCTAAATTAGTCTCCGGTTTGTCAAAGTACGAGCCTTTCTTCTTCTCCCTGGATTGATTTAGATCTTTCTTGCCAATCGTAGGAACATAGTCCCCAATGTCTCCATAAATACTTTCATCCTGTGGTCGTGGCGCTATGTCCATGTCGTTCATGTCATCTGGCCTAGACTTGCCATCCTTGTTCTTCTTTCCTTTCTTCCCATGGCGATTACCCTGTCGTAGGTAAGACAATATCTGTGCTAGTTTGTTTATAACTATGTCGTTGGTGGTTAAAGTAGGTGTATTGTCCACTGTAGGCACGTCTGCTTTGCTTCTGATCAGTGTGGTCGGTATGTCTACGTCTGCATTCTCGTCATCCAGTTCTATTATGTAAGCCATGCGACCAGGTGTGAATAATTCGTTTCTCTCTATCGTTTTTGACTTCATAGTCATGACAGTCTTGTAAACATTACGACCAATCTTGGTCTTAAATTGCATTTCGTCGTCCTTCTTCTCCGGCTCCTTCTTTTCCTTTACCTTGTCTTTCGGCTTCACTAACTTCTCCATCTCTTGCTCTTGTTCGTGCTCCTTCGCTTCGATTTCACTGCGTACCTGTTGTTATACAAAATTTGCTTCAGCAACTTGTACAATTGCTAACTGAACAAACTGATTTTCAATTTCAGATTCGTACCTTCTGCAGAAGAGCATAATCCAACCCTTTTACCAAGTGAGTGTGTTCCATGTCACCACCCAAGAATTTGGATTGCTGGATCATTTGTCTCCTGCGTTCAGCAGCATCCATTCCTGACTTCAGATCTGGTGCTACCGCTCTGTACGCACTGGCACTGTTCATGGGATCCTCTGCCTGGTAATCTTGATTTGTACCATCCCTTCGCTCTCTTGCTCTGTCTCTGTACTTTTCTGCTAACTCTGCCATCTTATCCTCCTCTTGCTTTTTCAACTTGGCATAAAAGCTTTTCTTCTTTCTCCTAAGTTCTGCTCGACTACCGCCACTAACATTAGGAGTCTGTGCAGTTTTAGCACTAGCATCTCTAGCGGTCCCTGGTACCGATACTGGTGTAGCTGATGGAACCGATGCCCTTGGAGTCATCAATAATTTACGAAAGTCGTCGTTCGTTAAACGAACGGACATCCCCATGTCCTCCTCCGTTGTTTCTGGCATTTTTGCGTTTATAATTTGTCCCCCTTCAATAAGATTAAGGTTACATTGTTAGAACAACAGAATGATTAACTAAACGAGTACCGAAGAAATTGTAATTTAAAATTTGCATGCTACTTACGTTTACTATCGTTGAATTTATAGTAACTGTTAAGCAAAAATTGATATGTGTCAGTTAATTATTTAATATCAGTATTAACCCATAAACACACTGGGTTGGACTTGTCAACACAACATATGTGAACTACAGCGCCACATTATCGATCGTGTTCTGACTGAACCATGATAAACAACTGTCATAGTTTTACAGGAACAAACAACCGTTGGTAAAGTAGACCAACTATTTGAAACTGTCGATAACTTCAACTAAAATTCAAAAAATTAATACAGACATATCCTTATAATAATATTAAAAAAAACGAATTAATAATTATGCTACAGAAATGTGAATTTTATAGTAATATTACACATTCAAAACATATTGCAGAAGTGAAATATTCTAGTAACAATGACAGTAAATATTATGAAATGAAAAACATGTTTTATGCCAGTTACAAATATATAACTTTATTCAATGGAAATATTACAATGAAAATTTAATTATAATTATGAATCACTTTTCACTCTGTAAGACGTAATAAGCATCTATACAGTTCACATATTGCATCGTTGGTTTTCCTAATTTAGGATTAGCAATATAATGCGCGAAGCGAGTGATACCGTTGCAAGCAGCCCCATATTCTCCGTCTTTATTCAATGCGATCACTGCACCTGTGAAAGTTGGATAATGCTCAGCAATTCTACGAACTGCTGTAGTCGCGGCTGCGGTTGGACTGGCGCCGCGACGCATTTCTTCCACGGCTAGAAAACTATATAAACATTGATTATTTTAAGTGTTACAAAAATAATCTCTCTTCTATGCTACAGAAAATTCTTTACCTGGGTAAAAATCGCATCATTATATCACCCTCACCAGTACCAGCAGCTGCACCAACTTTCTGATCAGCGTATGCACCTGCACCTGCAATTGGAGAATCCCCAATACGGCCAGGAATTTTATTTCTAGCACCATTCGTCGAAGTACCCGCAGCTATATGGCCATTTGAATCTATCGCAATAACTCCAATTGTATCATGATTCTCCTCAGTTACATATGATTCGTGTTCTTCAATGGAGTTTTCTCCTATGTCCACAGAACGATATGGACCACAACTTATTTTTGGATCTGGTACCACATTCTATAAAGAACAGCATTTAACAATGCTTGGATAGAGAGCATTTTATATTATGTTAAGGGTTTATACCTTCCAGTAATTAGGCTGACAGCTGTTAGCTTTCCAGTCCAGCCACATCTTCTTGGATTCTTCTGTCTGCAAGGATTCTGTTTTGAAACCCATTTCCAAAGCAAACTTTGTTGCTAGTTCTCCACCGATTAGGGAATGTTTAGTATTATGGAGAACCTTGCGGGCAACAGAAATAGCATTCTTCACATTCCTCAAAAGCCCTACACCTCCTACATCCATTGTAACTCTGTTAATGACAAAATAACTCGATATTAATTTACAGGCTTTTTGGGTGCACACAACTTTGAGGAAACAAATGTTATACCCATCCATAATTACTGCATCTAATGTAGTTTCTCCAGACTCATCTGGACTACCTCCATATCCGACTGTCTTCCTACATCTCTGTTGTTCGCAGAGGCTACAACTCTCTTCTATTGCATCCAAAGCACTTCTTTTTTCATTGTATAGAACATTCCAAGCTGAAAAGAAAATTGAATTTAATAGATTTTAGTGTAATGTTATTTTTTAGAAATTATCCTTGAAAATGTACCTTTTTGTGTAGCATCTTGGTAATCCCAGGTGATTACAACCAAAGGGATGCTGTTATTGGAGGCAAATGTTACTCCATAAGTTGATAAATAGATACTTGCGACAATACAAGTTGCTAACAGGAACTGCATCTTGGGAGCTCTGTCCAAAGAGTATTGACCGGTATTGAGTATGAAATCAATGATCGTTGTTCAAGAATTAGGTGGGGATATATCTCTCTTACCCTGCTATATACAATTACAATATTGGTTTAACATTATGTGTTTAAGTAACACAGTCTCCTGATAATCTACAGAAGTCAGGAAACCGTCAACAAACTTCTATAATTATATCATATTTATCTTATACGAATATACGTAATTTTCATGAGATTTTTATTGAGGAAACATTTTCTTTAGATAATAGGTACATACGACAGAATTAGATTAATCAAAAATATCGATAAGAATATGTCGGTACAAAATTAAATTTCGTTCTAGTGTTAATGATACCTTATCTAGCTCGTGGAAATATTTAAGCCGATAAGGGCTTTAGGAAAAGCGTTTTATTTAATGGCAAATGCAGCCTTATTAATAATACGTGTACCAACTATAAATTAAAATATTTTTCGTCACATAAAATTTTATTGTACATCGTTGAAATCTATTTTAAATTATTGACAGATTATCGCTAATATCAATTAATATATTAATTTGTGAATTATTTCGTAGTCCCTTCATTAATTACTAAATGTAAATACTGGTTGATTGCTCGTAGAAATTCAATGCATCAACTGGTGTTAAATTTCTTACGCCTACGTCGTGTAAAGAATTAAATGTTATAATTTCCTGACCAATGAGTTCCCCAAATTATCTAGACTGGTCGGTTCTTATCCGTTTTCATCGTGTTTAATTTAGATTTACTGATTACTTTGTGAAATGTTTAACAAGAAAGGTCGTTAACTGCTCGCAATAATATTGATAGCAATTTCAAACTTCGGGTAAACAGGCGAGTTCGATGACACGAGCGATTTTTGATCGATGCATAATTTTACCTGGCTTAGTTATACAATAAGGAAACATTAAAAATCAGTAAACTTAAAGTAGGAAATAAATTTGATTGACAATTATTTGTCGAGGCTGAATCGCTCAATTAATAAGTGCGTTTCGTTCATCACAGTTATAACCTATATACACTCGTCCTGCTACGATGCCTTTTAAGAAAGATTTGAAGCTTCTGTTAAAGCCATATTATTTAATAAACATTTTGCTTAGCCTTTCCTACATCGTTTCAAAACGCATTCCAGTTATTTGTTATTATGCGTTCGCACAATCAGAATGTGAACTCGATGGGGTAAGTTAGAAATAAAATTTCATTGCTTTTTTTAAAACGGCGTCTGATAAGTATTAATAAACAGTTTGTTCACTGTTTAGAGAGAAACAGAGATTTTATTTTTCCTCATGATAGTCATAATGATAAGGTCACGGAAAACTGGAAGCGTTACCATGATAAACTATCTTTCATCCAGTTTTGTATATACCAAAGTTGCTAATTTACTCCTTTGGTTTTATGCTGATATTCGCATGGGAATACTGTTTGCTATTATATTCATTCGTATGTATTTATTTGAAGAAGAACAATATAGCGTGCAATGTATTTTTTATTATAAAAATTTCTAATTACAGTGTGTGGATTGTTGTTCCCTGAACCAACATACCAAGGTCCAGAGAATGTAATTTACTTACACAGTGCAAATGGATTGCAGGAAGAACTGCAGCGTGACACAAGAGTTACTTGGCTGGTTGCATTCTATACAGCATGGAATCCAGCTTGTGTTAACTTTGCACCTATATTTTCTGAACTTTCTGCAGAGTTTGTTTATTTGTTTATATGATACCGATAGTTTCGTATTCTAGGATAACAAAATTGTTCATTACATTTTCAGATTTGCTTTAGAGAATTTGAAATTTGGAAAAGTGGACATTGGAAGATTCCCTGATGCAGGTACAAAGTATCGTGTTAGCGATGCCAGTACTAGCAAACAGCTTCCCACTATAATTTTATTCAAAGATGGTAAAGAAGTGGATAGACGCCCATATGCAGATCATAAAGGCAAAGTGGTTAAATTCTTGTTTTCATTGGTACGTGTATCAAGAATATCAGTATACACCAAGATCATTTTCTGTTTATTAAATGGAACATATTACTTTGTAGGACAATATAAAAGCAGCATTTGATTTGAATAATCTTTATAGAGATTGTAAAAAGAATCCATTAAAGAAAAAGGAGAAGAAGTCAGTAAAGGCAGAGTGATCGGATTCAGGTTTTTAGATATTTGTTAAATCGTTATTGACTCCATAGAAGAATAACTTCTACTGTGTAGAACAAACATTTAACATACTACCGACTTGCGCAAATTTTAATTTATACAAGAATTCGAGTATTTGTAAATATTTCATTATGTCTTTTACCATCATTCACGTTTCATGCACCACAGTGTTCTATTAGTAAAAAAATGAGAATGATAATATAGGAAAAGACAATTATTTATTAAATGATAAATATAGGCAATCGAATGTCATCGACATTAAATGATGTAAAACTGCCACATGTTCAATATGATTTACGTGAGTGGAAAGTTTCGCATTATATTTATCGAAAGTGACGTATAGCTTTTAATTACGTTACACACAGATTCGTAATATACAACTCGTTGCGGTTTTCATTGAATAAACATTGTTGAATTGTACGCTTTTGTAAGGCTTTACTGTACACCGTGTGTCGTATTAAATTTTCATATATTACAAAATTCAGGCATACGTGTATAACACATGACAAGCATAATTTAGATATACAAGTTATCATACAGGTGGCCAAATGGCCGCAACTTCTCCATGAGCCGATTCCGGTAGCCATTTCCGATAGGCCGACAGGAGAACTAGAATTAGTTATAATTATTCTTCTAAATATCCTAATCATATGTACCCACATACGAGGAAACGTATACTTACAATATCTATCTGTTTCCCAAATCTCTAATAACTTTTCTTTCGACATGATTGCATGGGACAGTAAAAGTTGGGATATTTCCTGCGTTCTTGGCACTAATTTTGCCCATGCCTTGTTGATACTTTGTGGCGTTGAAAGTAGCGAAGGAACGAATCGTTCCAATTTGGGGCACACTTTCCCTTCCAAAAAGAAGCATGCAAAATGTTTCACCCCTTCTATGGACAAGGGATGTTCCATGGTCATCACTGGTAGTTTCCAACCGCCTTTTCCCACCGTTCCTGTTATGCTGCACACGATTTTCCCAGTCTCTGCATCGTACCTTGGTGGTGGATCAGTCAAGGGTTCCCCAAGTTGACAGAGGGTGGGAGCAAACTTAGGTAACCATTCTGGTTCTATAGCTGTGATACCTCGCATATACATTTTATTCGTCTCATATATTTCTTGGTAAACCACCCATTCAGGGCTAGTCTTACGGAGAACACACGACGACAGCATGAACACAGGATCCTCCATTTCCAAGGTTTTGTAAGCATGCTTCCATTTATTTTTGTCTTGGTCTTCGTTCACTTCGTCTGGCATTACTTTCCTCGCGACTTGATTGACCATACCAGCGAGTACTAATTGTCTCAGTAATTTGGCTTCGATATCAGTTGGTGGTTTCATTTGTGGGTCAATCGTTAGGTTTAAATTCTGTACGTTTAAGTTAATTTCATTTGTGAGCTGCTGTCGAAGCTTTCTAATCTCTACGATTGCTTTATGCCTTAAACCATGCTCTTCGCAGAATGGGAGAAGCTTGCCTTTAGTCCCAGCATACTCTGCTGCTCCTACAGCTCTTATCAAGACCATTGGATCGCCTGTATAAAATATACTTATTAGTATCAGTGTTAGAGATTTGATAAACTAAGTATGCAATTAACACACCAAGGAGTAAACTATTCCCTGCTCCAGCCCAATGACGCCTCATTTGTAGCCACTTGCTTTTGGTGGTTCTGTCTGAACCAAACGCCTCCACCAACACTTCTTGAACAGATAACGCAGCAACCATGCATACAGTGTATTGCAAGAGACTGTGTTGATGGGACAGGGCCAACATCTTTCCATAACGGGGAGCAACCGGAAACGCGGCGATACTATGACCAAGAGGAGTAACTTTGGCACTGTATGAACCTAGGCGATAGTAACATTATTTAAAGTTAGTATTAAATCTGAACATCTGATATTCGTACCTTCCTTTCCGGGCAAGGGTTGGCACAATGCGCCAAGAATTAATAGTTGTTTCTCAGCTGTTTGTAATTGTGCCGTGTCTGGCGGAGTTGGAAATGGAAAATTGACAACTTTATCGATATTCATCACTTTCATTTGCAGTAGCAGATCGTCCACTGGTTTCCGTTGGATTTCTGATTGACTGAATTGCTCAAATTGATCGTTGAATATTGCTGAAGAATATAACCTGGAAAGAGACAATTGTCCATGAAGATTGATACGAATAAAATTGCATCATTAATGGATACCTGTAGCAATGGCCAGGACCAGTTCTACCAGCTCTCCCTGCACGCTGGTTTGCCGATGCTTTGCTAGTGTAACAGATTCTGTACGTACTCACACCTGTTACTTTATCATACATTCTTGTTTTACATCGTCCACAATCTATAACATATTTAATATTGGGTATTGTGAGAGATGTCTCAGCTACGTTTGTGGCTACTACGCATAAACGGCAGCCTTCGGGGGGTGCTTCGAACACCTAAGAACAGACGGGTATTAATATTTGTTTGTTTGTTCGTATGCATCAGTTTTTAATTACCTTAGCTTGCTTATGGCTTGGCAGTAGAGAATAGAGAGGCAGGACCCACAGTGGTTGTGCATTTGAACAAGCATTCAAATCGATGACATCAAAATCCTCATCCTCATCCTCATCTAAATTTAAATCTTCATCTTCCTCACCTCCGATTAAATCTTCATGCGTGTCATCGGTAGGAATCACAGCATAACTGTTAAGTTACAATTACTTTACACGAAACATTGTTGAAAGAATTTATAGAAAGTTCTATCTACATACTCATCCAAATTAATATTTGGTAATTGAATTTGTTTTTTCTGTCTCAATTTATTGGAACGTAGAGTTTTCTTTGAATAAAATTCATCTTCAGAGTCATCATTGTCACTATTGCTCTGTGCATTTTCTTTCCTCTCATTAGACTCCTCTGTGTCCTGTACACTCTTCGAATTTTTCTGAAGATTTTTTTTATTCTTTATAGGAAAGGCTTTACGTAACTTTCTTGTTATAAAATTAACTTCCTGTTGTCCTGAATTATTGGTATTGGGATATTTATTAGAAAAGAAAAATTATATAATTCATAATTCCAAGGTACATACCTGTTAAAAATATTAAGATACCACCATCTGGTAAACGGGTATGTATCTTTACTGCTTTTCGCAAAGCATCAGCAACGTAATTAACACTCGTTCTCCGATTAAAATGTATTGTAACCGGAAACTGTCTGGATTCCACTGTTAGTACTGGTGGTTTTATTTTAAACAGTTTCTTATTCTCTACAAATTCTTCTACCCGCAATGTGGCTGACATTATTATCAGTTTCAGAGGATTGTTCCTTTTATTACGTAGCGGTACTATTCGTGATAGCAAACCTATTAATATATCAGTATATACACTTCGTTCGTGTGCCTCGTCTAAGATGATCACCGAGTATTTCGTTAACAGAAAATCCTGAAAAATTAAGTGTCGTTAAGTTTTAGCATTCATGGTAAATACAGTTAAGTAACAACTTACAGTTTGTATTTCCTTTAATAAAACACCATCAGTCATGAACTTAATTTTTGTGTCTGGTGTAGCATTTCCCTCAAAACGAATCAAGTATGAAACCTCCTTTTCTGTGAGATTCATTTCCTCAGACACACGTTTGCTCATAGACATAGCAGCAACTCTCCTAGGCTCAGTGACTCCAATTAACTTTTCTCGAGCATAACCAGCTTCATAAAGAAATTGTGGTACCTGAGTAGTCTTACCACTTCCTGTTTCACCAGTGATTATTACAACTGGATTCTCATTAATAGCTTCCATAATAGCTTGTTCCTCTGCTACTACTGGTAATTTTAATCTAGCTGCTTGAATCTCTGGCTTTCTCTGTAATATTACAAATTTCTTTTCTGCTGGCTTTTGTACACTTACATCCTTATTTGGAGGAATTTCCAGTTTTCCTTTTTCTTTTCCTTTTTCTTTTTCTTTTTCTTTTTGTTCTTTTCCTTTTCCTTTTTCTTTATCTTCTTCTTTAAGGCCAGCCTCTGTTGTATTAATATTAGTTGTAGGCTCATCCTTTTTCTCTGAAAAATTTTCTTTTGTATTATCTTCTACAACTTTGCTGTCATCAGGAGTCACTTCCGAAGTATGTTCCTCTTTTTCAGATTCATCCTCTATATCGCTGGTCTCTGAATCACTAGATTCCTATAACATGTGTCTATTAATACCCATAACAATTAAATTTCATTATCAACTTACATCAAATCCAACAACATTTGGATCAGACACAGCTTTCACTTTTCTCTCATCCTTTAAAATAGACAACCTCTTTTTCTTTGCACCTTTGATAGCATTTACTGACTCCTCTTTGTCATCATTTTCATAGTCATTGTTTCCATTATCATTGTATTCTTTAATAGGTAACTCTGCTTCCCTAAAATAGCGTTTTAATCCTTTAGTTTGCAGAGATGTTAAAGACACGTATTGCTTTAACTCTTCTTGTGTTGTTTGAACTTTTGCTAATTCTTCTAACAGTGTAGCTCTCTGATCACAGATAACACAAATGAAATAATTGAAATTAACAAAAATTATTCTTTATTTGAAACAACTTACTTGTAATTTTTTCTTTTTCTTCTCTACAACTTTTTCCAACTGTTTTCTACGTTTTTTGGACAATAGTTTAGTGACAGTGACTTTCTTAACTTTATTTTTTGTTTTCCTTTTTTCATTGGGAAGAACTAATGGGTTACAATTGTCATAATTATCTTCATAGTGTTTAATGTCCAAAGTAATCTGTTTAAAAGCAAAAATAATATTATAAAACTGATTTTTTACTTTTGTACAAACCATTCATATTATTATAGAAATACCTTCTTAGTATCAGAATTGTCAATTTCAACTTCTGCGTTATTTCTCGCTTTCCAATTAAACCGTTTTCTGCCCATCTTTAATTCTATTCTTTTATTACGAAATTTAATAAAACTATCTCATTTTATTTTTTGTTTAATTAAAATACATCTAATACACGTATATCTGTTTTCAAACTGTCATACAATCCTTTACACAAATCTACGCAGGTTATGTTGATTGTATCCACGTGCTTCGAGATACATTACAAAAGAGACATCTAGTATAATTTCTTTAATTATTCAAAAGCTTAATAATTATTCAGTTTATTTCATTAATATCAAATTACGTATATTACATATATTATCATATTGTGAAATTAATATTAATTATCAAATATTTAATATCAAATAACTAATACAATATCAAACCAAGTTATTCCATATAGACTTTAGATATCGTTAGATGATATCTATTCTATCGACAGAAGTAATTTTTTATTTACATAATTTTCTAATTTCACTGCCAGATGGCGGCACTATGTACTTTTTGTAGCGCCACCACGAACTCTTCCTTATCAAGTATAGGCGGCTATATGGTGATGCACGGTGTTGTCATTGTGGCGAAAATATTAAACTATTGAAAAGTGCGGTAAATCATCTTTGATTTTCGGTGTTTTTAGAGTTATAAAATATAATAGTAAACGACACGTCTATACGAATATTGAATCTGTGACATTAGTTTTCGCGCGCTTTAACGGTGAAATAGATTAGGTTTCTAGACTGTTCGAATGTAAATAATAGTAAATTAGCTGTAGGAAAGTTTAATTTCTTTAGTACAAAATAAATGCAACTACACGAACGGACGGACGAAATTTGTAGAGCTGAGAATTATGTTTTTCGTTCCAAGTTACAATTTTTAATCAGAGTTTTCCCAAAAATTCCCGCGTCGTGGCTGGAATGACAGGTATGGATACAGGAAACACGACTCCTGCTGACAATTCTTCATTTAATAAAAATGTAGAGTCGACTCCACGTGCTGAGCGAGTAAGTGTTCTCTTAATTTCAAATGTGAGACATTTTTATTGATGCTTTTGCATATTCCTTGTAGAGAGTCACTCGAGGCTCCAGACAGAGAGCTGTGGATAGCGTGACAAAGAAATTTCTTAGGAACTTTGATCCGGAACACAGTGAAAGAGAGAAACGTAAACTTCATAGACGATTGTATCAAGGTCATAAGAGGCATGCGTTGTATGATGAGAATGGAATGTATATTCAGACGGGTGATGACCTTTGCGATTGTATGAATTTAAGCTGTGAGGGGTGTCATTTCCCTTGCACTAAATGTTCATCCACTAAGTGTGGTCACGATTGCAGGTTTATGTTACACAGAATTTGTATAATTGACTTAATTGATTTATTTCATAATTATGAAAATGTACACACGTTTAATTAGGCTTCATGTAACTGTTATTTACTGCATCTAACCAGCATAATATTTTAGAGTTTTTCATAACTTACAAATCATAGTCCAACTAAATGTTATTCACATTTTCATAATTAAAGCGAATTGATCTAATCAATTGCACAGTACTTGTGTCATTCAGTGGTAATTACCTCAACTACTTTTTCTACTAGAATCAATCGTAAATGGACATATGAATCTATTGAAAATGAGGGCAGTGACATTGTCATAAAAAATCCCCTATTAAAGGAGACCTAATAGCTTGCATGCGAAGGTAAAGGAGCTCAAATATTTTTACAGAATCAGTGAGAATCTTGTTCGAGGGTTCTCATTAACCTTCAAACAAACTATTTTGCTATTCTAAGTTAAGACTATGCGAATTCTTGTACAGTTCTCGATTGAATTAGGATAAAAAGAATAGAATGTTGTACGAGTATGGGAAAAGCAATAAACTTATACAAATGTCCCTTTGTATACCTCTCTCTCAATTTTGCTTTCATCCCCAGAATTCTCTATTGAAGCATGTAGCCGTAGATTCAACAAAGAACCACGAAAGTAGCTTCCACACTGAGGAGGACTCGATGGGCCATTGAATTTGCTAACCGCAGGCTGCTGCTGGTGTTGGAATGTAAATGGTTGACTGGAAGAAGTGTAATTGGATAGTGGAGTGGTTTTCTCAGAGGGGTTGGGGAAGAGGAATGGTTGTGGAGAAAGAGAGAGAGAGAGAGCGTGAGGAAAGAAACAATGAAAGGATAAATAGGTATGCTTGCGTAGTATGAATACGTGTGCACTGTCACACCGAACCGTCTATTGATTTTCCCCGGCACTTTTGCCGTAGTGCGCATCCATCTATCGCGCATACACACATACACACACAGCATGGTGGAGTACAGCACACATGCCTCCCTCGCAGCGAGTGGGGTGGTGAGCCCCGGTGCGGAGGGCGTGCGCCTCGTTTCCCTTCGAAATCATCGTCAAAGTTCACGCAACCGAGTGCACGACGGAGCGAGTAACAGCAGCAGCGAGAATGGTGATCCTGCTGCCGGTGAAAATCGAGCGCAACCTCCGTCGATCGATTCGTTAATTAACCGTAGTGCGGGGTGAAACATCGAAGGACCCGCCGGTGTGTACCTGTCAGCGTGTTGTCCACGTTTCCACGGAGAGAGCAGGCCACCAGGTGTTATTATCGTTGTTCCTGACCGCCCGGCTCAAGAAACATTGTCCTCCCATGACGCACGTTACCCGAAGTTGTCCTGCAACACCTGACAAGTGACTCACACCATCAAAGGACATCCTGCAACTGTCCAGAAATATCAGGGTTCTATCCTATCATTTTTTTATTCCAACTGCAAATCCAAGGGGGATGCTTCTTGCTATAGATTAGTCACCTGGTGATCAGTGTTTTGAAGGAGACTCTGGGACACTGGTGTGTTAATCCTTTCAATATACAGCTCCTGCATCTTTGTTCTTATGACTGGAGGACTCAAGAAGATACTTCAGAAGTCATACATACAAATACCACTCACAGCAAGCGATTGTTGAGGACTTTGAGGACCAACCTGGGACCGGTGGATCTTTTGACAATAGAAAACTTGTTGTTTCTGCATTCCTCGCAGGGTTCAAAGGGATTATAGCACCCTTTTGAGAACACAGGAGGTCTACAGCTGATGACTATTAGGACATTGGACCGTGAAGACTATCTTGAGACCAGTGAATCCTTTGGCAATAGGAATACTGTTTTTACCAATTGCAACATACAGTGGTTCTTCGTCTGATGGTGCTTTCCTTGGGAACAGAAGTTACACTTTCTCTTATTTCAAGAAGCCCCTGTTGAACAAGAGGAAGAGGACGCATTACCTTACGCTCGAACAGGTTCACAGTCACGCTTTATCGTTTGCAGGCCCTCCGCATCATCACGGGTCAACGCGATAGTGATCTTATCATCAGATGAGACTCGTGACGCGTCCACGTTTAACCGTGGTCGTGGTTCTGGATCTGTCTCTCTCCCTCCCTTTCTCAGCCGATTATACTGCCCCCCCCACATCTCGTTCTCTTACGTTTTAATAAATCGTGTCGTTAACCGCGACCTCGTGATCATGTGAAACTTAATTCTCGCGCGCCGGTCCGACGGTCGGGTCTATCCGGACCCGAACTTGATTTTCTTTATTAAAATATCAGACTATTGTTACAATACTAACTCGATTGAATCGTTGCATTATCGCTGAAACGTTTCATTCACCATGAAATTAGGCAGAATTAAATTGTGAATTTGAGATTGACTGTCACTATTGAAATTATATTACAATTCTCATGAAATTTTAGAAACGTTGGTTGGCAATCAACACTGGAACTACCAGATGGGTCATAATGATCAATTTCTTCTTTTAGAATGACTGCAAACGTACAGATACTTTAAGAAATGATTAAAGAAGCTGATTTAGTGATACTTAAAGTATAAACCAATTGGAACGTTAATAAACTCATGCGTGTAGCTTTTATAGGCATTTTCAAAAGATGATTTAAATGATCGGTAGTTCTAGCGTTAATTGGATACCCGGCGTGTAATGAAGATACAGTACAATTGTTTCTTGACGACAAATGCAACGATTGCATTCTGCTCGATGCTTCGAGGCTTGTCTTGTCACAATTGCCACGTGGTTACCGGCACTCGCGTTGATACGATTCATTGAGAGGAATCCCCGGTGTACACAGTGATCCGTTCGCCGTATTCTCTGTGATCGCTCGACAATAGCAGTTATCCGAATCTCCCTTTTTTCATTCTGTTTGCTTGCTTCTCGCCCCTCCCTCCCCTCCCCTTCTTCGCCGAGCTTCCCCGATTATTTTCACCTTTGAATAGACAGATCCTCGCGGACGTGGGCGATCGCTGTTGAACTGTAACAAGGGGCCACTCTTCTGATCGTCACTTGTTGAATACTAATGTACAGGGTGTTTCACAGTACCGGATTGCGATATTGATAAATTGGAAAATTAGGGATATTGTTTTCGCGAGGAAGAACGAAGTTGATAGAATTTTACGATAGAATTTTAATAGGTTTCTGTAATTAATATGTAACGCGAGTGAATTGGAAATTAGCGTTTGAAAGGGGTGGAGTAATTAATGTGGATAATTAACATCTACCAAAGGTGTCAAGAGACAGCTTTTGAAATTTTAAGTTAACATTATTTCCTCAGTTTAATCATTCTATCTTGATCGACTTTTGGATATCTATAGTTAATTGTATAATCGTTATTGGAAAAGTCGAAAACTCAATTCAGAGTATATTATTAAACTCTGGAAGTAATTTTAAGTTGAAATTTCAGGTATCTCTCGACACCGTTAATGCCCTTCGTTTCAGTTTATAATGAATTGAAATGTAAAATTTTTTTTTTTATTTTGCGTTAACTTTGGGAGTACTGTGTACTGGAAATATTATACTAGCACCACGATCGTGACGTTACGGAGGGTTAAATATTTGATTTAGGATGCATTGAACGTAATACTGAGTAGGTGGTTCTTAAGGGGTTAAAACCGGCAGAAGTTACGTGCGTTATCAATGTACCGGGTGGCCCGCAAGTCTCGTCGCTCGTTGAATACAGTGAAACGTAGTAGAATAAACGTGAAATAATAAATGTAAGGAAAATTATTTAACACATTGAATGTCGCGGGGTCACTCAGTTAAACTATGATTATTTGAAAAGATTTGTATGTTATAATTAATGCTGCCTAATGCGGTGACGTTCAGCTAGATGAACATGCAATAATAATAATGCAATGCAATCGAATGATTTAATATTATATATTTTCGATTTAGGTATTCTGCTCTATGAAACGCGATATTCAAAGTGTTAATATGATTAAAGGTGATATAATAATTTTCACTAATATTGCTAATAATTTCAAGTAGAAAGAATCTTACAATTCCAAGGATTCCTTGTGACATATTACAAATATCACTTACGATTGACCTTTTACCTTACGTCGTCACAAGTATCCATTTTTTTAACGGTTGAACAGTGATAATAACCGAAGTAAATTTATTTGAGGGCAAAGGGTTGGCAAAAAACCATTCATAATAAGTTTAACCCCTTGCCCTATGCCCTCCACAGTTGCGCTCAACGGAATCACTTCGACTGTAATATTTCACTCAGAAGAGAAGAATAACACGTTGACGTTACATTGAAATTTTCTTTAAAATCTTCCTCGCCGGCATGATATTTTAAGGTAAAGGGTTACAGCAGTATTGCCACTTCACTGCTCAGCGGAGCTGCTAATTGAAAGACAATATTGGCGATACTCGAAAATTCGTTCGCCTCATTATTTTATTCCTCCTGTTTATCTTTCTTCCATTCGTCTTATTTATTCTTACATTTATTACTTGTATCATTTATTACTATTAGTATTTATTTCTTTATTTACTTACTATTAATACTACTATTATTATTATTTATTACTTTTTACTACTACTACTACTATTACTACTACTACTACTACTACTACTACTACTACTACTACTACTACTACTACTACCGTCATTACTACTACTACTGCTACAACTACTACTACTACTACTACCACTACTATTATCATTCATTACTTTTCATCACTATTACCACTACCACCATTATCATCATTAGTTATTCATTCATTGATTTATCTATTATTATTTAGGAAAAGCGACGAGACATTTCACCCCTTCCTCCGGGCCACCCGGTACGTAAAGCCTCCCCGACGCAACCTTTCGCGTCGGCTTGTGGCCGCCCACGAACGGTTCTGTGTTATTTGCACGCGTGATTGGTGTGCATGTGTGTACCGCAGGAGGGACCGGAGGATCTCCCTCGGCCGTTTGGCTGATCTCGGTGGGAGGAGGGGCCCCGTGCGGCGGCGGGGGTGAGTTAAGGGTCGTCGGGACACGGCAGATGTCAGGATGCCGGAGCAGAGCAACGATTATCGCGTGGTGGTGTTCGGCGCGGGCGGCGTCGGCAAAAGCTCTCTCGTTCTCCGTTTCGTCAGAGGAACCTTCCGCGAGTCCTACATACCCACCATCGAGGACACCTACAGACAGGTGAGCGCCAAACAGGACCAACCCCCTGACACTAGGTCCGAGCAGATTTCATTTTGAAGCTTCAACGCTAGAACTACCGAGCATTCGACTCTTTGCGGACGAAGATACTTTGAACTGTGCAAAGTCTTCAGCGGATGAAGTTAAATGTCAATTACTTAACGCCTTTTATTGATATTTATCATTTACATGGGATTGTAAGCTATAACACTTATTTATTGAAGAATAAAATATAGCCTTTTTCCATGAGACAAAAGCGCAGTATATCAAAATTGATTTGTTTTGGCCGGGTTTTTTCAAAAAAACTGTGCGTTAAGGGGTTAATTAACATTAGGTTTACGGACATTTATTGTACAGTTTATTCTATTGTTCTTGGGGAAGTTGATATTCGTTCATTTAGATTTTGGAAATTGTTAGAAATAGACAATCAGGATTCATATTCGTGTAATTGGATCAACGACAACCGATGAAACATTTACCAAATAATGTTTATAAAATTCAATCTGCGTCAAATTGACGCGTTCCGTATACCTAGTGTTAACATTAGAACTACTGAGCATTCAACCCTTTGCGGACGAAGATACTTTGAAATGTGCAAAGTCTTCAACGGATGAAGTTAAATATCAATTAATTAATAGGAAAACAGGAAACTACGTGCTGCTCTCTTGCTGTTTCACTAATTAAATCATTTGTTCGCGACTTAGTCTTCCAAGTATGAACATCTGATCATGTATTAACACTAGAAGTACCGTAACAGTCAAGATGACTGGTTTCGATTTGTTTGTTTCGCAGTTAATTAATACCTTAAAAGCATTGAATATTTGAAATGATTTTGGAAATAAATAGGTTCACCTGAGTACTATGATGAATATCCAAAGAAACTGGAAATAATCTATTATTACAATTTTTATAGAGATTACATATCAATCGTATTGAATGCTCGGTAGTTCTAGTGTTAATATGCAATTCCTATAAAAACTGTAACAATAGATTGTTTTCAGTTTCTTCAGGTGTTCATTGTAGTACTGAAATGAAACTATTTTCAAAATCATTTCGAATATTCAGTGCTTAGAAGATATCAATAATTAAACAAAAAAATCGAAACCAGTCATTTTTAGTGTTGATCGACGCTGGAACTACCAAGGCAAATTGACCTGTTTCTAATTCTTTTTTATGGAAACTATGAGTGTATTTATTGAGGAATCAATTGACTACTGTATTGTTTGTTTTCAGCTTTGTGGCTGAGGAAAGGAGTGATAAAACTCCTGGTTTTCTTATATATACTTATATTTATGTTTCTCTTTCTTTGTTTATTGATATTGCATAGGCATACGTTAATTCACTTATATAACTTTGTTTATACATTGGTAAATCAATTTTTTAAGTAATTTCTTAGAGTAGCAACTATTTCTCTAGTAATTGTAAAGAAGAGATTAAGGAATCGTTTTGATCTATGTGATAGTTCTAGTGTTGAAGATGTAAGGGGAATATTGTACAATTTTGTTTTGTTATTTTTATTTTAGATATACTTGGATGATGTAATTTTATTTTGTATTGAAATTGGATGGATCTAGTTGATGAGCAGTCGTCAAACAGTGTCAAACGGACTGAAACGTTGAGAAATGAGTCTAGTCAGTTGAAAAGAACTGTGAATCGTTTACAAATGTTGATGTAGAATCATAAGACAATGGGTTAATTGTAGGAGCAATTATAGAAAAAACTGATTACAGATTTAGAGATGCGGTCGACTAAAAATTCGAGATTTTCTGAGTGCAACGTTGGTTGCACCCTACGTCCACCGAGGTGGTTCCCCGTCAACGAACTCGGAGCGTTCTCTCGGAACGTCTCTCGACTTAATCGATGCTAGCTGGTGGAAGGGACAATTTGCAAGCGAAATGTATTTAAATGACTCGATATCGACTCTTCGGTGCCGGCCTTATCGAGGACCGTCGCGCAATCTCTACCGCAAACGGATCGACGGATTAAAGGGGGGAAAGAAGTGAAATATCGTTCGTCAAGATCCGTCTACTCTCGCCGTTTCCGTTTATTCGATTTAACCCTTTGCACACGACTAGAGGAGTACCTGTAATTAGACTGCGGATGTTTATGTAAAATTATATGTAGAAGGATAGAAGTTTCTTTGGAAGATAGATCATTTTTATAATTTGAAGAAAATTAGTGAATGTAGATGTAAGATATGAGATAAGGAAAAATAGATTGTTACATATATTATATTATGTTACATTATGTAATATAATATAAAGAAATATGAATATAAATGTGAGGTATGAGATAAAGGAAAATAGATTACTACATATATTATATTATGTTACATTATATAATATAATACAAAAAAATATAAATATAAATGTGAGGTATGAGATAAAGAAAAATAGATTGTTATATGTATTATATTGTATAATGTAATATAATATAATTAGATAAAATATAATTAGATTATAGAATGCAAAGGGACGTTTCATTTTGACATGTTTTGTTAAAGTTTTTAAGTGACTTGGATAGAGTTGAATGTTCTTTAACAATGACTCTTGTGCAGAATGGATAATTGAGAATATAATAAATTCTGTTGAACAATTTCATTGTTCTCGCGGGAAGTCTTGTAAGTTATAAGTGTATAAAAATCCGCAGTCTAATAATCCACTCCATGATTGTAATGACCCCGTTATGAGGCGTAATTTGCATCGGAAGTACCATATTATGCAGAATTTCAATTGGCGGGGCTCAACGTCGTTTTAAATCAGAATAAAAGAAATTAATAGGCGAAATCAAATCACGAGTACATAAATATTCCTGATTTTTCGTTTTCTGAAGAGAGTAATCAAAGAAATCCAAAGAATCATTGTAAAAATGTTCGTTGTAAAGAAAGTATTACATTGATTTTATCCAATTGCTGTTTCTCCTTTTTCAATCATTTTTATATGAAGTTTGAAGTTCTGTAAATATTAATTTTTATATGAAGTTTGAAGTTCTGCAAATATTAATAATAATGAAAGTTCATTGCAAAAATGTTTATTGTAAAAGGTTATCGCGTCGATTGCATCGGAAAACGATCTGAATGTAAAGGGTTTAATCTTATCGTGTCATCGATCATCTCTCGCTTGATTCGTTAACGAGATAATGGGTGGAACGATCAAGGATTAAGGAGGTTGGTCTCTCGGTGATCATCTTGCATGATGCGCGAATCATCGACGAAGTGTCAAAGCGAATTGCGTCACACCAGCTCGCTTATCTGATCCACAGAATCTGTTACCGGTGCTGTATACGTATCGTGCTACTTGTGCTGCCTGTCTGATCTAATTCCGTGCATCTTGTTCCGTTAATTATTGGCTCCGCGGCGATTCTATAGTATCTCGTTTTATCGAATCGTCATTGGAACAGTAGAGACGCAAACACATTCATTTTTCCTATAAAATCGTACTCTTGATAACAAGGTTTAATCATTTTTATTAATTATGATTAGAGCTTTAGAGGTTTGTGATGATTAACTCCTTAATGTTAGTTATATATTGAAGGAGAGATTAATAATTTGACGTGTTAATTCTAGAAAAAGGTTGTTCAGTAGATTTTGTTAATGTACAATTGTATTTACTGTTCTAAGACGTTGCTACTTAGCAGTTATTGCTAATTATCTAATTATAGGAAAAATCAATAGGTGTCTAACAATCACTGCTATAGGTAAATGAGCAGTTGTGAATTTTATGTTATATAAGATTTAATATTATAAACTGAATATTTTGAATTTCATATTGTGCAATACTGTAGTATATTTCTAAACAAAATGGAACCAGTGGTGGGATCAAAATGGCGCTGACCAGTAATCACTGTAGCTAATTGGTGTTTCATACAAATATTATATTACTAATATTTCATATATAAAATATTATATTCAAATATTATATTACTAATATTTCTGTAATATATTTCAACACAAAATGACACCAGTGAAGGGATCAAAATGTTGCAGACCAGTGGTTACTATAGCTAATTGGTGTTTCAGGTGATCAGCTGTAACAAAAACATTTGCACGCTCCAAATTACGGACACGACCGGGTCGCATCAGTTCCCAGCGATGCAACGGCTCTCCATAAGCAAGGGTGACGCGTTCATCCTGGTGTACTCAGTGTGCTCGCGGCAAAGCCTGGAAGAGCTACGGCCGATCTGGGCCATCATCAGGGAGCTCAAGGGACAGGATATATCGCAGATACCTATAATGCTGGTAAAGACCATCCCATTTTTCACGGTTACCGTCACTTTTAGTGTCCCCTTGACCAAGACACCAAATTTCCTCCACGATTTAGACCAGTGATCCCTAAACCGCCTGCAGACCTAGAAAGTTTCATCATCAAGGATCCATGAGTGATTTCCGAGGGAAGCTAAATGGCTTTTGATTTTATCTTGAACAAAAGTTATTAGGAATCAGGTTGGTCGAGAAATCAATTGAAAAGAAATATCTTGAAATGCTGCGTTAAGGGAAACATTTACAGATTCCACTAGCAAAATTCAAGAGTACCTTCTTCGAGGCTCTGCTTGACTCTTTGGGGATGATCTCTTCTTTAGAAGGCTGTGCTGGGAAAAGTATTGCTAACTTTAAGACTTTATAGGAGGTTCTTGGAGGCTCGTGCTTCAGTTAAACAATTCAGAATATTCCAGAACTTACGAATGCAAACATTTAGAAAATTTCGATGTCTAGCAAATTGAGAAATTTAAATAATTCAGAAGTACAGGAGATTTAGATACTCAACAATTGAGAAATCTAGCAATGTAGAAAATTACAAACTTAGGAATTTAGAAAATTAAAAACTTAGGGATTTAGAAAATTAAAACTTTAAAAATTTAGAAAATTAAATGGTTTAGAACTATAGGAAATGCAAAAGTACACATAATGCAGATACTCAAAAGCATTAGAAAACTCCAAATGTCATCCTTTCCAAGTATTCCACCTAGAATACTTCCTTAATCTTTGCTAAACCAAAAGCTTGACACGTTGCACGATTTCTAATTACCAGGTGGGGAACAAATGTGACGAGAGTCCAACGGTACGCGAGGTGTCGATGAGCGAAGGAGCCGCAGAGGCGGCTAACTGGGGCTGCGGGTTCCTGGAGACCTCTGCGAAGACGAACCACAACGTAAACGCCTTGTTCCGGGACTTGCTGATGCTCGAGAAGAACCGTGCGGTCTCGTTGCAACCGGTGCAGAGCAATAACGCGATCAGCCTCAAGGAGAAATGCACCGTGATGTAACCGAGCTCGAGCTCCTCGTGCCCTTTTACTTTCTTCTCCTCCCCCGTGAACCGCCGACGCCATCGAAGACAACCGTTCCGTTCTTTAACCTCTTCGGACCTGATTTTTATACAGAATTCTGTTCACTTACCTAACAATAATGGACTGCCATTCGCGGCAGTACCGCTAACGACATTATTTAATATAAAAGAGTAGTACACCACTTTCCAAATAGAAATAGACTCAAAGCAAAGGTGTACATATGGTTGCCAGTCACAGTTTTATCATTGCATCGGATACCGAAGTAACAAAAATAGTGTACACTGCAATGTACACCGGGTCTGAAGGGGTTAAGCGCTTCCCCTTAACGCTAGGTTTACGGAACGCGTCAGTGAGACGCATATTGAATTTTATAAACATTATTCGGTAATTATTCATATCAATTTCGACTGGTGCAGTTGGAGGAATATTTATTTTAACCTCTTGCCTTATAACTCTGTGTCAGTCTCATGAAGATTTTAAACAAAATTGGAGAAAAATATTATTCCTGTGTTATCAGTAATTACATTTTAGTGCAAACATAGATACTAGAACTTCTCTGTTTTAACCTACAACTAGCACTCAAACTAACTTTTGAAAATTTATAAAAGCTACAAACGTTTATTAAGATTTCAACTGGTTTAAATCTCAGCTTAGGTATTACTTAATCAACTTCTTCGGTAAATTCTCAAAGAGATATTCTAGTGATAATAAATCATTAATACCAAAATAGTTGTATCAACTCGATTAAGCGAGTCGGCAAGGGGTTAATCGTCTGTCTTTAAATTCTTAACTTCTAACGCCTCCGAACGAACGAACGTCAACTTTTCTAGCGACAGTAGAGTAAATAATAGAATAAACGTCCGCGAACCTAGCGCTAAGGTGTGCGTCTGGAAACGTTATTTTTTCCACTGCATCTACCTTCAGTCTCGATAACGATCGATACCCGTCGCGTCGTCAACCGAAACGCGTACGCATCGTTCCACGCATTAGCGAGCAATCATGCGAGCAACTCAATGATTCGGAAGATTCGAAACTCCGAATCGCTGACATC